AGAACTGCTGTGGTGGTGGTGTCGTAATTACTCTCCCATCCATGTGTCCTGACTTTTTCTCTCACAAACACCCAGTTGGCTGAAGTATAGGTCCAACACTGAGTGCTTTGAAAGAAAGCTATTTGATTCCTGTTCACTAAATGCCATTTCTTTCAGGGTAGTAGATTTAAGGGCTCTGCCCTTAAAGTACAGTGCTGTTGACCCTAGTTTGAGGGTTCAAGCCGACCCATGGGTTAACTTCAACAGATGAAAATTTTTCCTTGGCTACAGCAACAGCCCTAATCCTGACCAGCCATGGAGAGGTTCGGTTCTTACCAGGAAAATGAGTGAATGTGGGAATGGCTCACCACATTGGGAAACAAAACTCACATCCTGCTGATGGTTGGCTGAGGACTGTCATGTCCACATACAAAGAAAAGCATGTGGCACAGTTTTAGGACAAAGGTGAGCAGAGACCCACTGTGGAAAGGGGCACATTTCGGTCATAGAGAGAACATCCAAGGCATGCCCCTTGGTGAGCAGTGTTGGTGGGTGACTGCAGGCACACGCATGGAGGCTTGCTTTTCCTGGCTCCCCACGTCCACTCCCTGTCCGTTAGCAGGTGCCCAGCACCGCCTCCGCCAGTCTCTGCCCAGTTAGCCGCCAGTCAGCGCACCTCCAGGGCAAGCCGTGCTCACCGTGTTTCAGACAGGACTCTCCGCCGGTCTCCGTCCTCGGAGACGGTGTCGGGAAGACAGAGACGGCCCGAAGTTATTCCAAAGGGGTGAGACGGACTCTGCATCTTCTTCAGAAGGACGTAGCAGGTGGTGTTTGGTACAGGTTACTAGTATCAGGGGAGTCTGTAGCAACAGCACAGGCTCAGACGAGCGTTGTTTTTCGGGGAATTCTTCTAAAATTGAAGTCTTGGAGTACTTCAGCTTGAAGAACACGTCATTCCAGGTTGAGCGTTTCGGCACTCGGACCGGGAGCTGGAGCCGAGCTTCAGTGTTGAGTGAGAAGGGCATCCACAGCACTGTCGGCGGCGGAGAGTGGACCAGAGCCTAGAACAGCCCGCGGCGTTCGGTGTGGCTTTGTGTGCGCTGTCCAGCTACCTGGCCATACTTGGTCAGAATCCTGGTGCCCGCTTTTTTTAGGGAGAAAGTAACAAAAACTCCCATCCGTCATTTTTTTTACTTCATTTGTCAGAGGAAAACGTGACCCCAAGAAAGGGAGTTTTTGTCTTGATTGGTAACTAGCGTTCGTTTCATAACTAGGCCATGCTGTTGGTTCTTTCACACAGGCACAGGGGGGAGAGGTTGAGAGACGTGACCTCTAGAAGTCTAGCAAGAGGAGGAATGTTGGAGGGTTTTTGTTTGTTTTTATTTTTAGCAATGCCTGCCAGAGAGGGATTTTTAAGTTTGTCTTAGATTTGATCTCAGAATTCCTTCATCTTCTTTATTTTCATACTGGAATTATGAAAGATGGTCTATATTTTTAATAGAGCATAAGAGAAAGGGCGTCTGCAGCTAGAATTAAGTGTATCATCTGTTGGGCTGTGTGGAGAGGCTCACTCTCGGGTCACACCAGGGATACGTGTGCATGTGTGTGTTTAACATCACTCCTGCCTCTGACAAAGGAATTGAAAGGAGAGTGCTTTGGCGGGGCAGAGCTTAGTTTCGTGTTATTTTTTGCAAAGCGCAAATGGATGTTAAAATGGATTACGAAAGATTCCTTGACATTAGTTATCAGAAGGCTCTTTACTTTTCGAAGGCACTAAAATTCCAGAGATAGTTAAAATGTTTAAATAAAACTGAATGGGACCCACACAGTTTTAAAAGGTATTTTAGATGGTAATTAAATTTCTCCCCAACCGTCTGCCACTCTGGTGTAAACCTCTGGTGCCACCACATTAGTTGAAGTCACCCCTCATTAAGCCAGAGGAGGGCTTTCATTTGTCATACTTCTGATGTTAGAAGAACCCTAGACGTGAGTAGTATAGCTCCCTCATTTCACAGACTAGGCCCAGAGAAATAAAAGTATCGAGATGTGCTTTTCAGAGTTAGTTTATAGCTGAACGAGGGCTAGATCCCAAGCCAGTTCTTGTTTCTCCAGTCTTACTAGTTACAGTATGCCTCAGTTTCCTCATCTGTAAGGCAGGGACAATAGTGCCTGATTCTTGGGTATTGTGAATATTGAATAAGATAACATTGCCTTGTACATGGAAATGAATAAATGTCGAGTAACATTTTGTTACATAGCCTCTGCCTTATTTGGGGGGACCCCTTCACTTTACTGAGTGGAACAAGTCATTCATTGAGTCGAGCAGACCTGAGTGGACAGTGACGTGGCAGAGCAGCTGCGCTGACCTGGTCTTTGCTCTGAGAACAGTCAGCCTCTCTGTCGAGCCTGGTTTGTGGCTGTAGGAGGATCGTCGGTTTAATGTTCCCAGCCCACCCAGCGTATCAGTGGCAGAGAGAAGTGGCAGGTGCCTGATTTACCCTTGGACTGGACTTTGGCATTAAAATGTCGCAAATGGTATTTGTGGCTTTTCACAGAGTAGTGGCCAGAATTTTCCTGTGAAATAAATCAGATCTCACATCATCAATTTTAATAAGTGACTTGGATAGCCCCCCAAAATACAGCTCCTAAGTGACCCACCCATTGGGACTTTTTTGTAGGGAATGTTAAGGAGGTTCTGTAGGGGGCATTATTTTCTAACAACACAGATGAGTCCCTACAACTCAGGGAAGAACTTTATTGGCAAGGCATGCCCCCCTTCAGCCTCAGCGAGAGATAGGTCTGATCGAACATTAATTTTTGTTTTCAGATCATTGTGCCTCCACTTAACAGACCGTCCTTACTCTCCCTCAGAGGTCAGAGTAGGTTCTGCATGTGAGCCTTGGAGCAGGTTGAGCGTGCACAGGATGGTCTTTGAGTCTGGGGGAGCGCGTGGCCTCGTAGGTCTGACGTGCGCTTCACTCTTTAACAAGTTCAACTTTTTATTCCAGATGACTTGCAGAGCTTAGGGTCTTGCATTCTCTGACCACCCCCCACCCCAAGTGGTTATAAACCATCCTTATTCTGAAGGAAGACCATCTGTGTAGATGTTTTTCTTATTTAATCTTTAGGAGTCACTGTCCCTTCTGATGTCACACTAGATGAGTTGGGGGTCGCTGAATGGTGCGGAGCCTGCGGGGCGTTTCACCGCACCCATACTGAGTGTGATCTCATCCCTCTCTGCTCGGCATCCGCTCACTCTCACGTGAAGCCGAGAGCAGTGATGCTGTGGGCAGAGCAGACCTGTGGCCCATTTTGACAACTGAATTCAGGTTCTTTTGCGGGGAGGAGCGGGCACTTTATTGTAATCTATTTAGAAATAAACCAAAGAAGAAAGTAGTTAGCTTTGATTTTTTTATTTGCTTTTCACACTTTTTTCTCTAGAGATGATAGTGTGGCTTTCCTCACGACCCACCCTACTTTGGAAAAGAAAGAGCAGTGGCGATATGTTTTATGTTAGATTTCTAGTGACTGAAGCACTTTTAACATAGAAAGTCTATGATTTGGAGAGGCACTTGCTCTGTCAAATATGACATCACATTCAAAATCACTTACTAAGCTGCTCAGCAATTCTAGCCCACGGAATTAATGAAACCATGTTTTTAAAGACTTCATAGCCCACAAAGGGAGCCGGGTGCCCCCTGGATAATGTTACTGCAAAACATCTCCCATGAAACCACTGGGTGTGCCTGTATTACATTTTTTTTAGGGAGTTGAGATTGAGTGACTCTTAATGTTTGAATGCCATTAACGGACATTGCAGTTTAAAAACCCTCTGAAATTGTTAGCTGTGCATTGTCACCTAGAGAGACTCTTACTGGAAAGGAACTCTTTAGTAAAGAAAGAATCCTGCAAGGCCAAGTTCTCTCACTTAACACGTTGAGCGTTACGTGCTGGTGAAGCTGGTGTCATTTTGGTCAGACTGAGTGAACTGGTGGCAAGTCTTGTAACCTGTGTTTAGTTCCGGTGTGTTTAAACGCAGAGAAGCACCAAGTTTGCCAGTGTGCACAGCTTTGTTAGAATTTAAACACGTTGCTGGTAACTTTCCTTCATGATCAGACATGATCATTAAGATGCTATTGGTTTGTAGGTAGATGTGGGCACAAAGCTAGACCTGCCAGGGCTATGACAGACCAAAGTGGAAGTTTAGTGATAATGTAGTTTATAGGGCATTTGTTTGACTTTGCTTACAAATATTTTATCATTTCTGTGCTTTTGTTTTATAAAAGTTGTACTTTGTAACAGGCAATGAAGAGAATTTTGGAAGGAGTTTGTTTTCTTTCACGTATATGTTAAACCCCAAACCTCTTTGCTGGAAAATTTCTAGCAGTAGTTTGTATAGGAGTTGGCACAATCATATAAAGCTTTTAGGTAATTCCAGCCTAACTGACACTTCAGAGAAATGAATTTGGAATGATACGAGGAAGTGAATGGCTCTGAGTATTTTTCACTGATAATTTCTGGAACATTCATTCATTTGTGACTATTTAGGCAGAGGAACAGGAACTTTTTTTAAAAATATTTTCACTAAGGAGATTAGAGACACTGAGATTATCTTTAACCTGTTATATTACTCCAAACATGATTTAACAGATAAAGCACAGGGCCCGAATATAGGTCTAATCAGTAAGTTCTATGTGGTATTTTGATACCTTATACCAGGCACCCCTGTAGAGGTCTTTGTAGTTGCCACCAACTACTTGGGGGATAAAAGAAGCGGTCTCTAGATTTAGCCAGTCTCCTACTAGAAAGATAGGGGTCTGCCTTGAGAAGTCTCCCTGTCCCCTGGTGGTGCCTGTTGGCACCAAACAAAGTGGTTTCAGTTCCAGGGAGGAGAAAGTTGGTCCTTAGTTTGCAAACCCCACCTAACCTTTGCTAAGCATGAACCTCATTGTTTTCTCTTTAATGTAGTGAAGCTGGATGTCAAAATGGTGCCAACCAGGCTTTCGTTTGCTCTCTTCTAGATACGGGTTTGTGGAGTTTGATGATCTGCGTGATGCAGATGATGCTGTTTATGAACTAAATGGCAAAGACCTTTGTGGTGAGCGAGTAATTGTTGAGCATGCCCGCGGCCCACGTCGAGACGGCAGTTACGGTTCTGGACGCAGTAAGCATTTAAAGGGCATTTGTATCAGTGACATGCCTTTGTTATTAAATGTTAATTTTTTAAGTAATTAAATTCTTGTAACATTGAAATGTATTGATATTTAAGCCATTTGTTTTTAAAATTATGTATCTTAAAATGTAAAATTGCAAATAAACATCTTTGATAATGTTTAATTTTAATTAAATTAATGGCATAAATTTCTTGTTTTAATACTTTATAAATATGTTTAATGATGTATGTTTGTGTTGTTTTGTTTTTCTCTGTAATGCAATTGTTTAACATAGATTTAACAAAGACCTCAATGTTTTAATTAAAAGAATCCTTTGAGGCTAAGATGACTGCCTGTTCCATTTGCTGACCTTGGGTTACCTTTCCATGCGTGGCTCTTTGAACCATTGTGGCCCTTGGCTGACCAAAACAGGAAGCCATGTGACGACCGCAACCTTTCCCCATTAGACCTGGGTGGTGAGGATCCCAAGGGTTAGACACAGATGAGATTAAACTGAAATAGGTGCCTGAAAATCTTTTTTTGTTTCTCATATAAAATATTCACAAAAACTTTAATCACTGTGAGTAACACCAGTAACTGATTTAGTAATTTGGTTACTTATTTCTAAATTGTTAATAGTTTTTAATTTATGCATGTTAACTTTAAATATAAATATTAATGAATATATATATACTTAACAACTTTGTAAATTGAATTAAATTTTCATGTTTGATTGCTTTTTTTTAAAGAGAAATCTAGTTTGGATTTAAGGGTGGGGATAGAGTTAAAATATACGTGTTGTTTGGGTTGGGGGTGAATGGTATATTTAAGGGGAATATGTGCTGTATCATCTTTGCCTTTTCCCCCACTGAAGTAATCTTATCTATTTGAACCTTCCCAAGGTGGATATGGTTATAGAAGAAGTGGCCGAGATAAGTACGGCCCTCCCACCCGCACAGAATACAGACTGATTGTGGAGAATCTGTCAAGTCGGTGCAGCTGGCAAGACCTAAAGGTTTGGACCCTATTAATCTTCTGGGATAAGGTTGGGCAAGAGTTGGCCCTGGCCGGGTCAGTCAGTTGGCTGGCGTGTTGTCCGGAAACGCCAAGGTTGCAGGTTTGATCCCTGGTCAGGACACAGAAAAGAATCGGCCGAAGAATGAATGGGAAATGAGTGGGCCGACAAACCAACGTGTCTCTCTCTTGCTCACTCACTTGCTCAAAATAAATGGGTGGGTGGTTGGGCAAGAAGTTAAGGTTGGGAAGGAGGAATTTTGTGCAGGCCCAGGCACACACAGAATGTAATGGTATTCTACGTTTGAAGGCTTCCCGAAGCACGTGGAAATTCTGTGATGAAAGTTTCTGTCCGAGTACAGAAGACGTCAGGGTTTTACTGCTGCCCTGTGTTACGGGCCGTCACTTTGAGGGCAGTCGGTGTTGCGTGGCGTTTTCCTCTGGGGAACGTGGGCGAGCAGCGGCTTTCAGCTGTTTTATCTCACGGCACACATTAACTAATGACTGAAGCTCTGTGGCACACCAGAAAGTATTTTCTGCCAGTCTAACCAAAAAATAGGTATAATTTGATTTCTCACACCAGTTGGTTATTGTTGTATTAGCTATTGTCATTTTTTTATTTGACAATCTAAGGGAAAACAGGTCTGTGCCTCAGGCTAAATTGGTCAGGTATTGTAGGTTTTAGAAATTCTTGTGGCACACCGGTTGAAAATGTTACAGAGAGATACCAGTGTAGGTTTGTTTGTTTGCTTCTCAATTAAAGAAAAAGTTAGGACTCCCAGTGTTTCCTGCAACGTTACTTGTAAGATGAAGTGTATGTCAGTTTCCGGTGTAGGCCCTCTTCGGTAAAAACGGTTATGTGACCCATGTTTTTTCTTAAGGTTTATTTCATTTTCATGGAATATTTATCCTGAAAAAGGTTTTTTTATCACATTTTTTAAAGAATTTTTAGAGAGTGGGTAAGAGAGGGAGAGAAACATCGTGTGGTTGCCTCTTATGTGTCCCCTGCCAGGGACCTGGCCCACAACCCAGGCGTGTGCCCTGACTGAGAATCAAACCCGCAGCCCTTTAGTTCACAGGCCCGCGCTCAAGCCACTGAGCCACACCAGCCAAGGTTTTATCCTGAAAAAATAAGGGGTTTTGTTATTGTTGTTTGTTTTTAGAAAGCTTGGTTATCTAAAGTTGTTAGGTAACAAAGATGAGATCCAGAAAAAGGTTAATCTACGCAGGCGGTCTTAGCAGGTTGTCGCTGTTGCAGCGGCCCGGCCCTTGCTGAGTGTCTGCCAGCAGACCACTAAAGGGAGGGGTCCATCGTTCTGAGAGCTGAAGTCTGAACGTTGTGAGTGGAAACTGGAAAAGCTTTCAACGTCTTGGGTTAAAATGGGGCCTACCAACATCCTCAGTAAGTCAAGGCAGCCTTCAGAGCAGGCTGAAACCCCAGCCCTTCTGTTTGTCAGTTACTCTGCTTTAGCAGGTTACTTTCCTCCTGTGCTTCATATTCCTCAGCCATAAAATAGGACTAATACTCATTTCTACTCAAGGTTATGTGAGAATTGAAGGCATTTTTATATTTTAAAAAAAGGCTATAATGGTTCCTGGCACAGTAAACATTAGCTATTATTAGTCAAGGAAATGTAAAAATAAAACAGATTCAGGGGATATTGTTACTTTTTAAAGTCTGTAAATTCATGACTCCCGTGATGATGGCATTGAGATGAGATTTATACAGCCGCGCACCTCTGGTGTCATTGAGGGTGGCCCGTGCTGTGCGACAGAGTGGTCAGGCACCGCTGCGCGGCGGTCGGCCGCGGGCCACGTGCGTGGTGCACAGTGCGGGTACACAGTGGCGGTGTATTCCACGTGGCCTGGGTGTGCAGTCAGCTGTATGCTGTCTAGGTTTGTTTCTGTGTGAGTGCACTCCACGGGGCCCCCGTGACGCAGGTGCCTAGCAGCACGTGTCTCGGGTCGGGTGCAAGCGCAGCGTGACTGTGTTGGGAGTTCCAGGTCCAAGGGCTGGCTGCTTATGTTCAGGCCCGGGCTCACCCGCCGGCTGCCTGAGGGGCCTCGGGCAGTTCACTTCACCTCTCAATGTTTCACTTTTCTCTGGTGATGTGGGGGTAATGATTCTGTCTGCTCATGTGGCTGCAGTTAGGACTGAAGTGATCAACTCACCTATCATACAGTGAACCGTCAGCATGTGAGCTGGGGTAAAGCAGTTTTTGTGCAAAGATGTCATTGCTGGGTTATGAATAATAGCAAAAGATATATATATACACACACATAGATATACACATATACATACATGTGCGTGTGTGTCTATAAACTTAAAAAGTCCCAACAATTGGGAAATCCTCAGAAAAAGTATTGGGCACACAAATTATGAAGCCATGTAAACATTTTATGATTCACTGAGCAAATAAATAGTATCAAATCACATGTGTTCAGTGTTTATGAGAGTAAAATATAGAGAGGACAGTAATCAAAATAAATTGCTACTGAATATTCATACTGAGTATATATTATATATAAAGAAATCTGGGGAAATTGGCCATAAGTCCCTAAGTTTTAAATTCATCTAAATTTTTTTTTCAAGCACTAATCAGATCTCTCTTTTCTGCACCACTCTAGTACATGTCCAGCATGTGAGCTGTGTTCTCTCATTGGATTATAGCAAGTCCTTAAAGAGAGCAAGGGAGGAGGCCAGTAGTGGAGGGTGAGGGCGGTCTGAAACCGGAGCTGGGCAGCACAGTTCTGTGGCCTTCTTGTCTTTGTGTTGAAGAGAACAATTTCCAGTAAAAATGAGGTTCTAGTTTTATAATCCACTTATGTGTTTGTTTATGTTACCAATATCTGTACATGTTTTTAAGTAAGAATTTATAATGAAATGTAAAAATCCTGCCTTGCAGGTAGTGATAGGAGGCTGTAAAGCTTCTATAAACAAAGGACATGCCAGTATAAAATCTAGAAAGTGATAGGTAACTAAAAGGTTTTGTATTTAGACATAACTTTATTTAAAGAACAGTTAAATATTAATTACCTACCACCTGCCAAATGCCTGATGCTATAAAGAACCTCAGTAAATGCTTGGTCTGTAGATTGAAATACTTTAGAGTAAACTTTATTCCAAGGAAAGCTAGCATTTCTTCCTAAAAGAAAGGGAAAACTTTTGTAGTGGTGATGGCATTAGCTACTTAGCAGAGTATGTGTTAACCTATCAGCAACTCTCTTTCCCTCCAGGATTACATGCGTCAGGCAGGAGAAGTGACGTATGCAGACGCTCACAAGGGCCGCAAAAACGAAGGAGTGATTGAGTTTGTATCTTACTCCGATATGAAAAGAGCTTTGGAAAAATTGGATGGAACTGAAGTCAATGGCAGGAAAATCAGATTAGTTGAAGACAAGCCTGGTTCCAGAAGGCGCCGGTCCTACTCCAGGAGCCGGAGTCACTCCAGGTACTGTCGCCCCCTGTGTGGCAGGGCCCCCTGGGGACTCCTGAGTGAGTGCGCAGAGAGCCGTTTCCATTCTCCTGTTGGGTTCTTGGTGATGTGGTTCCATCCGGGTCAGTAACTCAGAACTTTGAACTGAATGTTTATTTGTGAAGCTCTTGAACTCTTATGTCATTAATACAAATAGAAGTAAAGTCCTTTCTCTGAGGCAGGAACCAGTGACCTTTCCCATTTCTTGGGTTCGCCAGCTCATCCCTCATTGGGAGCAAACATGGTCGCTTTCCCAGGTGTTCCAGCTACTCCAGGCTGGAGACCTTCTTATTCGGCAGTTACTCTGCAACGGGGCCAGGCACTTGTGAAAAGGGCAAACACGGTTTGTGCCCTCATGGAACTCAGGCTAGTGGAGAAGACGGGCATTGAGGAGATAATGCCGTGGTGCCGAGTTTGTCTGGGGAGGTGCACATGGCAGGAGCAGTCTGGAGAGCCGGCGGAGGCGTCCCTGGGACACATGGTAGACACTGAGCCCTGACGGGTGACTTGGAGACGGTGCGCAGAGACTAGGGCTACGTGTTGCAGTTCATTTATTTTAGAGAGGGCAAGGGAGGGAGGAACAGGAAGGGAACGTTGATGTGAGAGAGCAGCGTCGATCGGTTGTCTCCCGTGTGCACCCTGACCGGAGACCAAAGCCGCAGCCTTTCGGTCCATGGGGTGATGCTCCCACCAATGGAGCCACACTGGCCGGGGCGGCGTGTCTTCATTCTCCTTTGAGCCACTGATACACCCTTCACCTTCTCTCTTTCCACACATTTAGTTGTTTGAAAAAAATGGTTATCTGTTTTGAAGACTTCCCCATAGTTGAGATTTTGCTAACTGTGTCCTTGCGGAGGTGTTTAACACATTCCGTTAGCCTGTTTACTATTCTTATAAACTCATAGTTGGATGTTGAGGCATTTGGAGTAAGGCCAGGTGTGCTTCGGAAGCAGTGCTTTGTGCTTCCTGCTGCCTCGCTTGTGTGGTGTCTGGATGGCCCCTTCGAATGATTACGACACGTGTCGGTGTGTTCAGGAGTGGTTAGCCCGCGCCGTCCGTTCCAAGGTTCTGCCTCACCACCACCCCCCAACAGTTTTGGCATCTGTTGATAAGCATTAGCTAGAGCCATTCATCGGAGGTTGCAAAATGACAACTTTCTAATTTTATCATTCCTTCTTCATTTAAAGGCTATAATTCTATAAAGGATGATTTCCCTCATCTATTCTTTTGTTACCCAGAAATAAAGTTTTTATAGGACATGCAAAATAAGATTTGATACCTTTATATACCAACTTTCAGAATATTAAATGTGCCCTAGCAACCCCCAAAGGTGGTAAGTGTGGTTGTTTAGTATCATTGTGAATGGATTTTTAGATGTTTATACATTTAATGTTATGTTTACTGCAGTCATAGTTTTTTATGCTCAGATTGTTCCCTTTCTTGTCACTGGGGACTCATCAGGTTGGCTCCTGTGTCAGTACCCTTCGGTTTGGTTTGGTTTTTGTGTGACTAGGCTTTACTAAATATTTCCCCAAACGTTCTTTTTATTGCGATCATTTTTAAACAGTTGAAAGAGCGGTTCACAAAACATCCCTGTACCTTCCTTCTGGCTTCAGTGGCTGTTAGGGTTTTGTCATCTTCTGCCTTGTCTCCTGCTGTGTGTGTGTGTGTGTGTGTGCGCGCGCGCGATTCATACACACATGACAAAAGCATGTTTGTCTGTATTTATACATGCACCCTGTACTTCGATTTTGTTGCAGCGTTTGAAGGGAAGTTGTATAAATTCTGACACTCTGCTCCACAGTGCCCCAGCATGCCTCCAAGGAGGAGGACAGCCACACTTCTGTTCTCTAACCTCAGAACATGAATAGTGATGCTGTAAAGTTACGTGGTGTCCAGGCCATGCTCCGGTTTAGTTTCCCCAGTTGTTCCACGGGTGTTTTTCATAGCCGCATCTGTGCGTATTGTGTTTTCTGATCAAGACCCGTCCATCTCACATTCTGAATTTATGTTTCCTCTTGGTGTCATTGAATTTGAACTTTATCTCCTGAAGTACCTGTAATCTGAAAGTTAGATCTAAACAGGAGTAAATGAGATGCAGGTTCGACATTTGGGGTGAGTCCTTTCATAGATGATGGTTCCTAGGGACCTTTGGAAGTTCCCCCCTTTCTGCCACAATGACATGTTCTGGGGCCTTATTTTTTTTCCATTCATGTCCTGCCTTATACCTGGATCCCTTGTTGCTTTTGGTGGCAATAATAAGGAAAGTCCACAGTTTGGGCTTTTTAAAGATTTTTTTAAAGCTTGGAGTGTATTTTTAAAATGGCTCTCTGGTCACAGTGAGTCCAGTAGATTAGATACGTAAACAGCAGAGGTAAGGAGACTGGAGAACAGGCTGAGAGAGACCAGTGTATATAAGATGAGGGAGAGTCAAGTGGCTGGTGTGCAGAAGGGGTGAGTAACGGCAGCACCGTGGAAGGAAGGAAGGAGTCCGGCACTGTGGGTCTGGGTGGGGCGTGTGTTCAGGATTATTGGAGTTGCTGGGAGTCCTGCAGAGCCATGGGGGGGGGGGTGTGAGCAACCAGACCCGTGGGCCTGGGGCACAGGAAAGAGCTCTCTCTCGGCTTCATGCCTGGGCAGTCGGTGCTGTGCATAGTTTCTTACTGAAAAAATGTCTGAGTGGACTCCATTCGGTCACACTCCAGTCAACAAATTGTTTTGTTTTGTTTTAAGAAATGTTTTCTCCCTGTAGGTCCCGCTCTCGTAGCAGACATTCTCGTAAGAGCAGAAGCCGAAGTGGCAGCAGCAAAAGCAGTCATTCTAAGAGTCGATCTCGGTCCAGGTGGGTCTTCCTTGGTGTAAGTGGAGGGGGTGAGCAGGAAACAGCCACCCCATTTGCCACGTTGACTTTAATCATGTGACTACTAGTCTTATCTCACCCAGTTTCTCCAGCTCTGCACTAGATCCCCGGGGGTTTAGAAAGCAGTTGTTGGCCGTGGATTATATTGTGCGGCACAGCTCCACGTTCCTTTGCCCTTTGCATCTGATGACTAGCGTCAAGTATGAAGTTGCATGTGAATTCGACTTCACTGTGTCTTCTCAGGTCGGGCTCCCATTCCCGGAGCAAGAGCCGCAGCCGCAGCAAGAGTCGAAGCCGCAGCAAGAAAGAGAAAAGCCGCAGCCCCAGCAAGGATGACAAGAGTCGCAGCCGCAGCCGCAGTGTGGACAAGCGCCGCAGCAAGAGTAAAGACCAAGTTGAAGAGAAGGTTCAGAACAACAATAACACAGGGAAGTCCAAGAGCAGGAGTCCCAGTCGACATAAAAGCAAAAGTAAAAGCAGGAGTAGGAGTCAGGAGAGGCGAGTGGAGGAGGAGAAGCGGGGCAGCAGGAGCAGGAGCAAGAGCAAGAGCAAGAGCAAGGAGAAGAGCCGGAGTCAGGAGAAAGGCCTCCGCAAGAGCAGGAGCAGGAGCAAGGGAGGCAGCCGGAGCCGCAGCCGGAGTCGCAGCAAAAGCAAGGACAAGCGGAAGGGGAGGAAGAGGAGCCGGGAGGAGAGCCGCAGCCGCAGTCGGAGCCGCAGCCGCAGCAAGAGCAAGAGGAGCAGAAAACACAGCAGCAAGCGAGACAGCAAGTCGGGCAGCAGCGAGAAGAAGAAGAAGGAAGACGCCGACCACTCCCAGTCCAGGTCGAGGTCCCGCTCGGGGTCAAAGGAGCGGGACCGCGCCAAGCCCGAGTCCAGCCAGAGGGAAGGCCGAGGGGAGAGCGAGGATACTGGCGCCAATCAGGAGACCCGGTCCCGGTCAAGGTCCAACTCTAAATCCAAACCAAACCCTCCATCAGAATCACGCTCCAGATCAAAGTCGGCTTCAAAAACCCAGTCTCGGTCCAAGTCTAGGTCCAGGTCTGCATCCAGATCGCCTTCCCAGTCTAGATCTCGGTCCCACTCGAGGTCCTAACTGGCTCCGACCACAGCTGGAACTACCCAAGAAGTTTTGTACATGTTCGGTAGCTGTAGCACAAGTGGTTGAAGTAGAACATACGTCACTGCTGTACATTTTTAACTCCCCTAATGGTGTGTCTACAGTTGTTAAATCTAAGTGCTTCCTCTCTGTAAAGCCTCCCGGCACCAGGCCTTCCTGCTCGACTGAAAACAATCTTCTCTTTGAAAACCCCCCTTCCTCATGGCCCACAGTAGAATATCCAAAACGCCTTGGCTTTCAGGCCTGGCCTTTCTTACAGGGAGCTCAGTACCTGGATGGGTTTAAGGCTGGAATGATGACATAGGTAGGTATGGTGAGTTCAACCATTTTTGCCCCTGAATTGATGCCCTTTGATGTATGCCATTTAGTGAAAGTGCTAAGTCTTAAGTTTCCTACCACTTTGGTTTCATATTTTTGGACTTAACAAAGTTGTGAATAGCACAGTCAAGGAAAATTGATACCTGCAGTAACCCATAGGAAATAAACTATAGAGTTCCATATTCTGGTATTGTGATTATATTGTTTTATATTAAAAAAAGAAAAGAAAAGAATTTTTTTTTATTTTATTTTTCCCCGTCTTGCAAAGTATAGTGACCCCTGTTTCCATTAAATTTGAATAAAGACTATTTTTGCTTGACAAAATTTCATGGTTCTTGAATCAAAGTTGCATTTCCTGATCTCTCTTGATAATTCTTTTCTTAGCATAAAAAGTTCAATGTATAATGACTCTGGTTTCTGGAGATCATGGCTAAGGAGCCAACATTTTTCCTACAGGATTTTTCTCGCCCAGCAGTGTAAAAGAATTTAGTTTCTTGGGAATTTACAGCCCTTCCTCTCTGCAGAACCTAGGATTTGGCCCTGACCGTTGGGGCCCGGCCAGGTGTCATACTGCAAAGTGAACAGTTATCAGTTCAGTTCCTAGTTGGGGCACGTGCCTGGGTTGCAGGTCCATCCCTGAATGGAACACATGCGAGAAGTGTCCAGTCAGTGATTTTCTCCCTCTCTCTCTTCCTTCCCCTCTAAAAACAGTAAAATCTTTTAAAAAATTTTTTTAGGGTTTGAACTGGGGTTTAAGCAGGGTTTCCACAGAACTGAATCTACTTTCCTTAAGCAAAGCTGTCTAAGTGGCTGCAGGACAGCGTCGCCAGCCCACCGCCGTGTGGGGGGTATTGAGACGGCCCCGTCGTCGGGGGGAGACACAAAGGCCTGTGTGGGGCGCCCGCTCGTGCAGGCCCAGGTCGTCGTTCCACATTCCAGGTCCCAAGGAATGAGGAGAAGAAAAATGGTGCGTGTTGGGGTTTATAGTGGGAAGCAGCACTTTAATGCATTTATAGGGAATTTTCCAAAAAGGAATCAGCCAAAGAAATACAACAGCCCACTACCATTAGCCTCTGGATGCTCAAAATCCACACATACCTTTCTTTCCTACTTAACCTTTCTTCCCCTCTCCCTCCCCAAAAAAGAGTGGAAGGCAAAAACGGATAAAAAACAAGGGTAGTGGTAGAAAGTAGTAACAAATATAGTAGATATTAAACTATCAGTAATCACTTGGAATGTCGATTACGTGAATAAAAGACTCATCAGCCCTGGGCTGGTTTTGCTGTATCCGATAAACTGAAAAGTCGCAGTTTAAGCAGTTTGATTCCTGGTCAGGGCACGTGGGAGAGGCAACCGATCAATGTTTCTGTTCTCTCCTCCTTCCCCTCTCTCAAAAAAAAAAAAAAAGACTTCTAGTGGAATTTAAAAAAGAGCCATCTCTATGTCGTTCAAAGACACCTATTTTAAATATAGAGACACATTAAAAGTAAAGGGATAGAGAAAGGCCGTGGTAACGCCTATTGAAGAGGCACAGGGGGCTGGGTGGGTGAATGATGGAAGGAGACCCGGGTGGCGCACAGTACAGTGTTCAGTCGGTATCGGTGACTGGCAGGTTCATCAGGCAGAAAGCCGTACGGACAGGTGAACTGAAGAGTGCCATCAATGAGCTTCATCTACATGACACAACAGCAGCAGACACATTCTCAAGTTCACATGGAACGTTCAAAATAGACCACATTCTGGTCCATAAAACCCATTAAGAAATTTAAATGCCAAGTATGCTCAGACCACAGTAGAATTAAAACTAGAACAGAAAGAGCTAGAAAGTTCCAAGACGGTTGGATATTAGACACGTATCTAAATAATGTGTGTCAAAGTCCTGAGAAATATTTTGAGCAAATAAGAACAGCTTACCAAAATTTGTGAGATGTCGCAAAAGCAGTCTTGGAAGTTTCTAACATTAAATGCTCCTATTGGAAAAACAAGAAAAAGGGACTTCCGCCAAGATGGAGGCGTAGGTGGACCCACCTTGCTTCTGTGCACAAACAAATCTAAGAACAACTATTTTTAACAACGATAAACACAACCAGACCACACAGAACATCGACAATATGGAGTCCGAAAAAAAGGACGAAATGCTTGGCTAAACTGGTAAGGGGGCGAAGCCAGCAGCAAAGCCGGTTTACCAAAAAGATCCCTGACCTGGTGGCACGCAAGCAGCCGAAGGCGCGGATCGGATCGCGGGCTAGCTACGGGCGCACACAGGGAAGAGGCACAGCTGGCTGGCTGCGGTAGGTCGCGCATCTGTGTGCAGATAAACCAGTGAAGAGGCGAGCATTGAGACCCCACTGCACGGGGCAGCAGGCTCGCACAATTCTGATCAGATAAACAGGCCAGGGTGAGTGGTGGGACGGGACAAACTGGGCGAGCGGAGAGGACCGCCATTGCTCCCTCTTTGACCACGCCCCCACACACAGCGTCACAAACCAGCAACCTGGGTGGCCCCACCCTGGTAAATAACTAAGGCTTCGCTCCTCTTACTTACCAGCGCAAACAGACCAAAAATGGCTCAAGAACAACTCAGAGCCCCAGAGCCGATAAATAACTCAGAGCCCCAGAGCCGATAAATCTAAGCCATGAGGAAATAGCCAAACTTTCAGATGCACAGTTCAAAACACTGGTGATCAGGACGCTCACAGAACTGGTTGATTTTAGTCACAAATTAGAGGAACATATGAAAGCTAAACTAATTGAAATGAATGGTAATGCAAAGGATACCAATAGTAATGGAAAGGAGTCTGGGACTCAAATCAATGGAGTGGGCCAGAAGAAAGCAAATATTGGCCAAACAGAAAAGAATGAAGAAACAAGAATTCAAAACAATGAGGAGAGGCTTAGGAACCTCCAGGACATCTTTAAATGTTCCAACATTCAAATTATAGGGGTACCAGAAGGGGAAGAGTCACAAGTGGAAACCTTATTTGAACAAATAATAAGAGAACTTCCCCATTCTGGCAGAGGAAATAGAGTTCCAGGAAATCCAGGAAGCTCAAAGAGAGTCCCAAAGAAGTTGGACCCAAGAAGAAACACACCGAGGCACATCATCATTACATTAGCCAAGATTAAAATGAAGGAGAGAATCCTAGAAACAGCAAGAGATAAGGGGACAGTCACCTACAAAGGAGTTCCCATCAGACTGTCAGCTGATTTCTCAAAAGAGACCTTACAGGCAAGAAGGGGCTGGAAAGAGGTATTCCAAGTCATGAAAACCAAAGACCTACAACCAAGATTGCTGTATCCAGCAAAGTTTTCATTTAGAATGGAAGGGCAGATAAAGTGCTTCTCAGATAAGACCAAATTCAAGGAGTTAATCATCAGCAAGCCCTTATTATATGAAATGTTAAAGGGATTTACCTAAGAAAAAGAAGATAAAAAAGTTGAACAGTGAAAGGACAGCAAACTCACAGTTATTAAGAACCATACCTAAAACAAAAGCAAATTAAGAGGACAGCTGGATCAGGAGTGAATCATAGAAATGAAGATCATGTGGAGGGTTAGCAACAGGGGAGTGGGAGAAGGAGAAAGGGGGAGAAGGTGCAGAGAATAAGTAGCATAGACAGTAGATAGAAAATAGGGGGAGGGTAAGAATAGTAGGGGAAATACAGAATCTAAAGAACTTGAGACACGTGTTCATGAACTAATGGGGGGGAATGGTGGGGGAGGGGCATGCAGGGTGGAGGGGGGAATAGAACAAATGTAATGGCATAATCAATAAAAAAGTTAAAATTAAAAAAAAAGAAAAGAAAAACAAGAAAAAATCTAAAATCGATAATCTTCTTAAGCTTCTGCCTTAGGAATCCAGAAAAAGAAAAGCAAGTTAAATCTAATGGAAGCAAAGAAACATTAGAGCAGAAATCAACGAAATTGAAAGCAGGAATTCTACAGGGGAAATCAACAAAACCAAAGCTGATTATTTCAGAAACTATAAACTTATGGCTAGGCTAACCAATAAAAAAAGGTAGATATAATAATATCAGAAATGAAAGGGGCCATATCACTACTAATCCTGTGTACATTAAAAGGATAAAAATGTTATGAGCAACTTATCCCCACAAATTTGGTAGTCTAGATGAAATGGAACAATTCCTTGAAAAATGCTCTACCAGAACTAAGAGAGAATAACTCTAGAAGCACTGGGCCCAAATGGTTCACTGGTGAAGTCTACCAAACATTTAAGGAAAAAATTAAATCAATATTCAGTATCTTCCAGAAAATAGAAGCAGAGTAGTAGGAGATCTTTGATTTCTTTCACCAGAAATCTTGTACATATTTTTTTAGATGGATACCTAAGTAATGCATTTTTGAAGGGTGTTAGGGTAAGTGGTATTTAGTTTTGAATTCTAATTGTTCATTGCTGTACATAGGAGAGCAATGGACTGGCAGATTAATCCTAACTCATCTTATTACACCAGCATTACCCCACCATCAAAACCAGACAAAGACATTACAAGAAAAGTATAGACCAATATTCATGAACACAGATTTAAAATATTAGCAAGTAGAATCCAATGATATATGTGAGGAATTATACAATAGCTCATGCAGGGTGGCTCCGAGCAGAACACAGGTGGGGGCTGACCTTGGCCTGCACCACCCTGGAAACTCCTGCTCCTGCACAGCTGATCCTCCACAGAGGCTGGACATTGGTGGTCAGTGGTCATAGCCTATCCTCGGAGCTGCCCAGCCTGGGTAAATCTGTTGATTGCTTGAGCCAAGCAATCAAGGCTCAACTACAAGAAGATGGTGTTCTCAGCCCAGCCAATGGGTGCACCTTGAGGATTCAGCTTGGGCGATAGGGGAGGCTGTGCCACTGGACCCTACAGGTCACCTACTATATAGGCCATGCTACAAAGATAGGGAGTCATAGCAGCTCTACCTAATACATGGAAACAAACAGGGAATTAGTTACAGGGGAGCTGCCAAAACAAGGACACAAAGCAACATGGCCCAAATGAAAACATCAAAACTCCTGAAAAAGAACTAAACAAAATGTAGATGAGCAATCTATCATGCAGAGTTCAAAATATTGGTTATAAGGATGCTTAAGGAACTTAGTGAGGACCTTGAGAGTATAAAAAGGATCTAGTCGGAAATGAAGGATATACTAATTGAAATGAACAATTTATAGGAAAACAACAGTAGAATGAATGAAGCCAAGAATCAAATCAATGATTTGGAACATAAGGAAGCAAAAACCAACTAATCAGAACAGAGAAAAAAGAATGCAAAAAAGAACCAAGAATGGTGTAAGCAGCCTCTGGGACAACTTCAAGCATTCCAACATTCACTTCACAAGGGTACCAGAAGAAGAGAAAGCAAGAAATTTGAAATCTATTTGAAAAAATAATGAAAGAAAACTTCCCTAATTTGGTGAAGGAAACAGACGTGCAAATCTGGAAAACACAGAGAATGCCAAACAAGATAGATGCAAAGAGGCCCACTCCATGACACATCATAATTAAAATTGCAAACATTAAAGATAGAGAATCTTAAAAGCAGCAAGAGGAAAGAAGTTAGTTACCTACAGGAGAGTTTCCATAGACTGTCAGCTGATTTCTCAAAAGAAACTGCAAGCAAGAAGGGATTGGCAAGAAATATTCAAAGTCATGAAAAGCAGAGACCCACAGCCAAGACTGCTCTCCCCAGCAAAGCTATCATTTAGAATCAAAGGGCAGATGAAGAGCTTCTCACACAAGAAAAAAACTAAAAGAGTTCATCATCTTCAAACCATTATTTGAAATGTTAAAGGGACTTATTTAAGAAAAAGAAGATCAAAACTATGAACAATAAAGTGGAAATAAATACCTATCTATTAACAACTGAATCTAAAAAACAAACTTAGCAAACTAGAACAGAGACAGTTATATAGATATGGCTAGGGTTTTGATGGTTGCCAGATGGCAGGGGGCCTTGGGGTGAAGAGGTGAGGAGATTAAGTACAAATAGGTAGTTACAGAATAGCCATGGAGATGTAGAGAGCAATATAGAAAACTGAGTAGCCAGAGCATTTATATGCATGATCCATGGACATGAACAGTGTGTGTGTGGGGGGGGGGGGGGCTAAAGGGGGGGATTAGAACAACTGTAATAGCATAATCAATAAAATATAATTAAAAAATTAAAAAGTATACACCAAGACCAATTGCAGTTTTTTCCAGGTATGCAAGACAGTTCATTCAAAAACCAATTAATGTAATCTACTACGGGAACAGGGCAAAGAAGAAAAATGACATGAGCATATCACTAGATGTAGCAAAAGCATTTTTGAAAGCCCAGCACTCGTTCATAGTAAAAACTCAGCAAGCTAGGAGTAGTTTCCCTCAACTTGGTAAAGAAATCTACAGAAGACCTACAGATAACATCATACATAATTGTGAGAAAATAGATGGTTTTCCCCTAAGAGCAGCAACCAGGCAAGGACATCCCCTCTCACTACTCCTATTCAACATGATATTGGACTTTCCAGCTAATGCAATAAGACAAGAAAAGGAAATAAAAGGTAAACATATTAGGAAGGAAGAAAAACTATTTGTAAACTACATAATCTACTCTATAGAAAGTCCCAAAGAATCAAGAGGAAAATTCCCCAAACTAAAGCAATTACAGCAAGTTTTCAGAATACTAGATTAATATATAAGTCAATTGTTCTCTATGTACAGCAATGAACAATTAAAATTTGAAGGTAAAAACAGTACCATTTGCATTGCTTAAGGTATAAACCTAACAAAATACATACCAGCTCTCTGGTAAAAGAAATCAAAGGTCTACATAAATGGAAGGAGATTCCATGTTTATGGATTTGAAGACTCAATACTGTTAAACTGTCAGTTCTTTCCAACTTGAGCCATAGATTCAATACAATCCCAATCAAAATGCCAGCAAGTTATTTTGTGGCTATTAAACTGATTTTTAAGTTTATATGAAAAGGCGAAAGAGAAAAAACCCAAACAAAGCAACCCAGAACAGCCAACACAACACTGAAGAACAAAGTCAGAGGATTGATGCTGTTCAACTTCAAGGCTCACTGTGAGATTCAGGAATCAGGTCAGTGTGGTATTGGCTAAAGAATAGAGAAGATAGATCAATGGAACGGAATAGAGAGCCCAGAAATAGACCCACACAAATAGTGTTTAACCAACCTTCCACAAGGAGCAAAGGCAATTCAATACAGAAAGGACAGTCTGATTCCCTCAGCTGCCCCACTCCCCCGAAGTAGAAGTAGGAAACTGGGAGGAAGCAGTCAGTCACGTTGACAAACGTCAGCTACACAATTGCGACATCTGGTGTCGGCCTGGAGGATTCCAAGATAAACCCGATGAACCAGACATGGGACTTCTCTTTAAGAAGCTTCAGCTAGTTACAGAGCTTTATTTTTAGTGCTAAAAGCCACATACACTTAACGCATGCTCAGTGCAGCTATACAAGGCAAAAATCCCAGGATTTAAAATGCAGGTACTTCATTTCAACACACCAGGCGAGTCAAAGAGACACAAACCCAGGACTTGTACCGAAGTGTATAAGCCACGCTGGGCACCAAACCCCAATGGCATGCACAAGAATGTCTTTAGCAGCCTTATTTGTAATAGCCCAAAATTAGAAACAACCCAAAAGTCTTTTCAAACGTCACGGGGACAAGTTGCGGTACATTTCTACAACAGAGGACTGTGTAGGTGAAAAAGAGCAAACTACAGACACGAAGCCACGTGGGTGAATCTCCCAAACATAAAGAAGCCAGACACAAAGGGGCAAGAACTTAAATTTCACATACATAAACTTTTAAAACAGCCAAACTAAAAATTCACTGTTTAAAAAAACAAAACACTAAATTATAATATTAGAGGTCAGAATAGCTTGCTCCTTTGGATGAGGGAGGAGGCAGCCATGGGAGAGGACCCTGCCAGGCCTTCTCGAATCGGGCCGTGTTCTGTTTCCGGAC